GGGGAGCTGCCGCCCGGGGGGCAGGGGGCCGCGGTGCCCAGGGCCCTGGCGCACGTTATATGTATCGCGCAGTTCGGGGGGTGTGTGGGTGACGGGCACCATCCGTATGGGGCGAGGACCCCGTGAGTCATTGCTGAAGTGCGCCATAAATGTAGCCCAGTGATACAGGTGTAGGGTTGATCCTGGGAGTCACTGAAGTGTGCCCTAAATGTAGCCCAGCCATACATAAGGGTCTAGGATCCTGCAATTCACTGAAGTGCGCCATAAGTGTATCCTGCCCAGATAGGTTTATGGGTTTATCCTGGGATTCACTAATGTAGCCTGGGCATATGGGTTACGATTTATCCCATGAGTCACTGAAGTATGGCCAGACGTCATTTATGGCACACTTCATCAGTGAATCGCAAGATAAATCCTGGACCCGTATGTACGGCTGCGCTACGTTTATACTGCACTTCGTCAGTGAATAATGAGAGAAATCCTAGACCCATATGGCCGGGCTACATTTATGGCGCCCTTCTGTGACTCACAGGATAAATCCTAGACCCCATGCGCCATAAATGTAGCCCGGCCATATGGGTCTAAGATTTCTCTCATGATTCACTGATGAAGTGTAGTATAAACGTAGCGTAGCCGTACATATGGGTCCAGGATTTATCTTGCGATTCACTGACGAAGTGTGCCATAAATGCAGCCTGGGCATTCATAGATTCATAGATGTTAGGGTCGGAAGGGACCTCAATAGATCATCGAGTCCGACCCCCAAATTGGGGGGGCATATGGGTCTAGGATTTATCTCGTGAGTCACTGAAGTGTGCCATAAGTGTAGCCTGGCTATACAGGCAAAGGAATTATCACACAATTCACTGGTCAACCGTGTAATAAATTTAGCCCAGCCACACCTGTGAAGGATTTATCACATGATTAAAAATGACCATCCAACTATAAAAGAGCCAACTCGCTAGGAAGTTAGTGCTTGAAAATGTGGAACAACTCTATAGTGGCTTTCTATCCAGCTTTCGTGTCAAAGTCTCATATGGTATCAGCCTGCCCTGCCTTCTTATGACCTGGTGTTTGGGATGGGGCCAGCTGGCTTGGGAAAAGTTCGAGTGAACGTAGTATTGACAGTCTTTCATTTCCATGTCCTGCTCTTGTTTCCTCCCTTACTATTTCTTCCTGAGGGTCCTGCTCCACATTCAGATGAAAGCTGGATAGTAACCAGCTAGGGAGTTGTTTACTCAGCTTCAAGTGCTAACTTCGTAGCTGGTTGGCTCTTTTTATAGCTGCATGGTCAGTCTTACGGTGTGATAATTTTTTTTTTTTGCAATTAGTTTGCACGTGTGGCTGGTCTAAACTTATTGCATGGTTGCCCAGTCAGTTGTGTAATAGAGAGAACATGGGGTAGGGGCCTTTCTTTCTCTCTCACTTAAATACCCTTGTATATGAAAGGGACGGGTCATTTGGAAAGCTGTATAATAAATGCAAGCTTCTGGTAAAAGTAGATAGAAAATCTGATTTACTATTAACTGCATATGCTCTTGATCTACTCGTAGGCTTTTTTGCTCAGTGTAATGGATGAAGAGAGACTGATTACTTTTCATAGTTTCCAGTAGCTTTTTAAAAGCTTCAATTCTGCAACTAATTCCAAGTGACTGGAGCTCACTGTAGCATCAAGGCCATTCTGTAGAGTTGTACTTCCTGGTTGTGATACCTTTAAGCAGTGATTCTCAACCGGGCCATCTGGGGTGCTGCCACATCCTTTGAAGGGTGATGAGGTGTGAGGAGCTTGCTGTGGCTCAGGCTTGCCTGGCTGATTCCCTTACCCCCGCTACCCAGCCCCTCTGCAAAGAGGTAAGTGCTGGAATATGCATATTCGTTTTTGAAATTGGGTGCTGCTCAATTCACAAAAGTTGTGGAGGGATGCCGTGAGTCCAAAAAGATTGAAAACCACTGCATTTTTCTACCAGTGCTGTCCCTAGATTGCAAAAATGGTATTTTCTACTTACGATGGGATTTTCAAAGGAGCTAGGGGCCATATTATCAATGAACTTCCTCAAGAATTGGATATCTTGATATCTTGATTCTTACTGAGTTTCAAAAGGGATGGGTACTTTTAACACCCTTGGGCTTCTTTAGCTACTTTTAGGTGCCACATAGACTGCAAGCCAAGAGAGCTAGCAAGTAGCTTTGTATCATTGTAAAGGGACCAGCTCTTCTTGTTACTTGTTTTAGGCTTAAATCTGTAGCCCTTAATTTTAATAAAATTAATTTCAGAATTGTAATAAATTCTCAACCAGTGTTCTGGAGCACCCTGGGGTGCCACCAGATCCTTTGAAGGATGCTGCATGAAGTGTGAGGAGATGAGCAAATAGGGGCAGGAACAGCTTTCCCTGCCTAGCTGTTCACACCCCCTCCCCCCACTGTTGGCCCCTCTGCAAAGAGGTAAGGATTATAATAAATAAATTAGTCTTTGGTGAACTGAGGAGCACCCTATTTCAATCTATTGAGGGGGATCCCCTGAGTCTAAACTGGTTGAGAACCGCTGCCTTAATCTCTTGAAGTGGGAGTACATTTTATTGTGGGACTACTTTTATGGGTAAAGTCTTACTAATTTCAGGCAGAATTTGGCCCAAGGTCAGTAGTATGCTTTTGGCAGTACAGATATAATGTACACATTTAATCTTGCTCTTGCTGAATTCACTATTTTAATTTCAGTGCCAGTAATAGTGCTCGACAAAATCCCATCAAAAATGTTTTGTTCTCCTAATTGCCAAAAATAGTCCTGTAAGCAACCTTAAGATCCCAAGTGGGGAATTTTAAGATTTCATGCTTAAAAAGCAAGGACTAGTTCAACCTCTTGTTTGCAAGCAGCCTCTGTACATTTTTAAGTCAGTGTAATCCCTGTTACATTACCCTTCATGGTTGATGTCAGAACCTATTTAAAATGTGTGGTGGTTAAGGCGCAGAGGTCTGGTGAAATTGTAAAGCAGTTTGTTGACTTCTTAGGAAACTGAATGCTGTTTAAATCACACGGAGTGCTCTCATCTTGGAATTGAAGTCACTGCTACATGTTACTTAGTGGTGCTTTTCCTGCCTTTTGAGCCAGTGCTGAAGGTAGTACTATACCAGCTCAGAGATGAATTTTCTCTCTCATCCTCCTTGACCAGCATGAATTTCAGGCTTAGTTTGAAGGAACTGGTACTGAACTTTTTACCCATAGTATTTTCCAGGAAATTGCTACCTTCCTCCTCAGCTTCAAGATCTGTAAGGAAAGTCTTATTACCTGGCACTGAGTTCTTCGAGCCCTGTCACTAGTGTCATGGTATTAACATCCCCAAACCTCATTAGTTCACTTTCTAATAGCAGCCTTTTGACAGGTGCTTCCTTTCCTTTCTTTCTTTCTTTCTTTCTTTCTTTCTTTCTTTCTTTCTTTCTTTCTTTCTTTCTTTCTTTCTTTCTTTCTTTCTTTCTTTCTTTCTTTCTTTCTTTCTTTCTTGGGTTGTTAAAGTATCTGCTTTGTGACTAATTGTGCTATGCAGTTAACTGGAATAAAATAATTTAGTTGCCAAGTCGAGTGAGGTTGTGACACTTCCTATAAACTTAAGCAGTTCATGCATGTAAGTCATGTGCTGATAAACATTGTTTGTCAAAAAGTAAGCAAAAGCTAATTTGAACCAGTATTGTGTTTATATAGTGAAGCAAATAATGCACCTATCTGATTTAGAAACCCTTGGATGCTTATCTTGCTGGGGTGATCTGACCCCAGCTGAATTCCTGCCTCTTGGGCAGGGGACTGGGCCTAATGATCTCATGAGGTCCCTTCCAGTCCTAATAGCTATGAAATCTATATGCATATTAGTGGAATACAAAGGGTCTAAATCTGCCTCTCACTCCCATTGACTCAAGTGGGAAGAAGATCAAACCTAGCATTTAGTACCTTCTTTAAAAAAAAATTATAGAAAACAGTAGACTAATATTGCATTTGAGTATAAACTCCATCCCAAAGTACTAGTCTGAGACTTCATTATATAGGAACTGTTTCTGTCATCTGAGCAGTGTGGGCTTCTGGAAACCAAAGACGTATCCTGGCACAAAAGTAGGGAAGCGGTGTGCTGTAGTAGCTACTTAGGGCTTCTCTATGTTGGAAAGGGTATCACTTCACTATACTATGATGCCTGTCAACATAATTTAGGCAATATAACCTAAATTGGAAACATGATATGGACTATTTGGGAGGCAGCATCAATTTGTAAGAGGATCAGAATGTCATATGGGAAGAAAGAGAGATCATGGAGGACTAGAATAATAGAAACACTAAGAAAATCAATGGTACGAAGAGCAATGTCATGCATTTGGAACAAGAATTTCTGCTGTCAACTTACCTGGTAGAAATAACTGAGTCAGTAAAGGACCTGGGTATATTAGGAAATCACGGGATGACTGTGGGCCACAAATGTGATGTCATGAAAAAGGCAGATGGTTAGTATGAATCAGGAGAAATATCTACTGAGACGTGTAGAAGTGGGGGAGTATTGATGTCATCTGTTGTACAAAGCCCTGCTGAGACCTCATGAGGAGACAATGTACAAATACCTTCCATCTTCAAAACACATGAATTCAGACTCGAATAGATCTAGAGAATGACTATGGGGACGATCAGGAGACTTGAAAAGCTTGGCTTGTTTCACCTAGCAAAATGAAAGCTGAGAAATCATATGCTTGCATTCTATAAATATGTGGTGGTTGGGGATAGATGACAGGGACAGGACAGTACTTGTTTATAAAAGACACATACATAAATGGATATAAACTGGCCAGGAATTCATTTTGGTGTGAAAATCCAAGGAAGGTTTTCGAACCTCCAGGGGAATGAGGTTCTAGAACAGCCTTTCAAGAGGAGTAGTTGGCGCTAACTACTAGGTCATTATCAGTTTATGAAAGGGAGTACATGGCATTATCATTTTGATGACCCAAAAGGCCCTTTCTAGTCCTATTTTTTTTTTTTTTTTAAGCCACAGCTACCCTGAAAAATAATCTAGATGGGGAGTTATACTACTATAACTATATCAGTTCAACATACCAGTATGTGCCTCTCCTGTTTTTTGATTGGGGCTTCAGTGTGCCACAATAATACAAACAATAGCAACGCTGGTAAACTTCCACGTGTAGAAAAGTCTCTGTACAGCCACATTGTTTGTCTTTGAAATGAACCTTGCAAATAGAAGTTTTGTCTTTCCTGTAAAGAGCTAATTAAAGTTATTTTTGGAAGAGCAGGATCTTCTCCATGTGTTATTCTTCCAAATTACCTCTTTTGTTCCTCTGATGAGACAGATGCTTCCAGTATGTGCTGACTTTCAACTCTGAGAGTTGGCTAAAGTTCAGTAAAGCAGTGTATATAGCTGCTGTGCTAGACTGTCATCCATTGATAGAATAGATGCTACATGAATTTAAGAACCTCATTCTTTTACTTAGGTGCAGGGAAGTGTTTAATATTAAGAGGGAAATTGAAATTATTTCTGCACAGAGTTTGCAAATAAGGGTAGGTGAGTAGTTTTGTATACAGAACTCAAATTGCTTTCAAAGCAACAATGACCTTCCTTGTAAATCGCCTCTTCGCTGGGCCTCATGTTGATCAAGTTGCTCACTTTGGCACTACTTGAATGTGTTATGTACAAAGATGATGGATGCATTCTCGTTGATAATAAGCTAGGCTTATTGAGAGAGATTTTTACCCTAAAGAACTGTTATCCTGGCAAAGGATCTAATGTTTTCTGGATGAGTGAGGGTTTGTGGGATTTCCCTCTTCCTCTCTTGTTTTGGTCTTTTGTCTTGCATTGCATCCCTTGTTTAACCCTTCTTATGTTAACAGTTGAGGTTCTGAGGCATTTTTAGGTGCACTTAATTTAGCTGATTTTTTTTTTTATTGATGTATTTATTTTCACCTTCTGATAGAAAGATCTCTTCCTCTCTCTCTTTTGTGTTGTTTAATCAGATGATTTTTGTCCTATAGTTTTCAAACACTTAAATTTAGAAATAGACTAGGCTTTTTATAGTTGAACTCACTTTCAGGTCCTCTCAGCATCTACCCTCATTGTAGAAGTTATGCAAAGTAAACTTGGTTTAAATTGTGAGAAGAAGATCCAATTTTTTTCTTTCAAATTCACACTCGGTGAATGCCAGTAGTGTCAGAGGTTGATAAGTAATGATGCAGTGTTGTTTTTAATTAAGAAAAATCTTAAACGTTTTCAGTGGTAAAGTTGTGAGTGTAATGAGACTTCTGTCATGCTGAATACTTGTTTTCTCATTTGTTCCCATTGTGCTTCCCTGTCTTTGTGTAACAAATTATTTATCTCCTTAGGGCAGGGGTTGTCTGTTCAGTATGGGTTATACAAGAGCTGGTCTGTGAGTGCCATGCCTATGTACTACTGCAAAAAATAAATGCAGCTTCAGACTTTGTCAAAGTAACCTAAATGACTCATTTCTTTTACTTTTTATAGCTGCTGGAGCTGACTGTGATCTGTACATAAACCAGGCTGTAGTATTTATTGAAGATGCAATACAGGTAAATATGCTTCCCTTCCCTTCCACCCCCTGTTTATTTTGTCTGCTCTGCTTTATTTGTTACATTCCTATTTTTTTAAAATTTTAACATGGAGTGATGAGATGATAAATTATAGCGCTTGTATATATCGTGTCACTTTTTTAGCTCTGACTTCGAAAGCCTGTTTGTGAAGTAGAAATTTCAAATCATTGCAGTGTACAAGTTGTAGTTTTAGTTCTTGGGTGCGCATGCTTAAGAAAAAGAGTGGCTTTTTTGGCTAATTCCCCACAGGAAAGGCGTGTCTGTTTTTGCAAAACAGATGGTATGGTTGACACATTTGTCTGAGGACACAGCAATCTAATGCTTTGAATAACTGAAGCTTTTACAAAGAGATTATCTGAGCAAACCTTGGAACTTAACGCAACTGCTCCTATCACAGAGGTAGTTAGCCATGTTAGTGTTAAGTCAGGCAGAAGCTAGGGCAGGGTGGCACCTTAGAGACTGATTTGTTCAGGGAGGCATGAGCTTTCATAGGCAACAACTTGTTGCGTCAGATCTGAATTAGTCTCTTAGGTGACACCCTCTCCTACCTTCTGTCTGTAACTTATAAATGAGTAAATTTTAATGTAAAATATTAAAACTTATTACAAAACATCATGCCTCATGAGGTTTATCTGATCCTACTTCCTCTGGAAGCCTTCTTTTACCTTTCTTTCTCGTTCCTTTTTTCAGCTATCATATAAAATTTCTGAATCCTAGTTTACTCCCTGATATTAGCTGGGTAAGGGATCTCAGATTTGGAACTTTTGCAGTATTCAAATACTATTTATTCTGGGGCACTTTCAAAAATAAAAGTACTTCAGAGTGCACTCATCCCACAACATACTAGCTGTCGTATGATGAGATCAGCGGCCAGCACAGGAGAGGCTGTGAGAGGTGCTGACACGCTAAGGGAAGTATCGGAGAGTAGGAGACCTGTTGTGAAGAGGGGCTGGTACTTGTTTAAACTTGGGCTGAATTTTTCTTTTCATAGATTTCATAGATTTCATAGACATCAGGGCTGGAAGGGACCTCGGAAGATCATCGAGTCCAGCCCCCCGCCCAAAGGGCAGGAAGTCAGCTGGGGTCATAGGATCCCAGCAAGATAAGCATCCAGTTTCATCTTGAAGGTGTTCAATGAAGGCGCTTGAACCACCTCCGGTGGCAGGCTGTTCCAGACCTTGGGGGCTCGGACAGTAAAGAAGTTCTTCCTTATGTCCAGCCTGAAACGATCTTGAAGTAGTTTGTGACCATTCGACCTCGTCATCCCTTGGGGCGCTCTGGTGAACAAACGTTCCCCCAGATGCTGGTGGTCACCCCTGATAAACTTGTAGGTGGCCATCAGATAACCCCTGAGCCTGCGCTTTTTCAGCCTAAAGAGCCCCAGGGCTCTCAGCCTGTCATCGTAGGGTCTGCTTCCCTGACCTCTGATCATGCGCGTGGCTCTTCTCTGGACTCTCTCAAGCTTCTCCACATCCTTTTTGAATTGTGGAGCCCAAAACTGGACACAGTACTCCAGCTGCGGCCTCACTAAGGCCGAGTACAGGGGGAGAATGACGTCCCGGGATTTGCTTGAGAAGCATCTATGGATGCAAGCCAGACGTCCCGGGATTTGCTTGAGATCATCGAGTCTGACCCCCTGCATAGGCAGG